GGCTGGGCTGGACGGGGCTCCTGCAGGTGGGCAGTGGCCAGGCTGCCCACACGGGAGTCGTCACCCCAAGGAATGGGATGCGTTTTGTTGTTTTCGGCTTCGAAGTTGTTTTCTTTTCGATTTGATGAGAAGAGTCAGTGGGGCCCCCAAGGATTTGCTCTGTGGCCGAGTGTTCTCCGCGCAGGGGCCGCAGGTGAGCGCAGACTGAGCCACCTCAGGCTTCCACAGGAGGCCTTGCTCCCTCGCCGGCGGCCCTGGCACAGCCCGGAGCTCACGGAGTCCTGGCCGGTGGACACTCCTCCGTCCCGCCTGCCCCGGCCTCTACAATCCTCGCGGAGGTGTGTGCTCTCCGGGGCTGCTGGGCAGGTGTGGGGTCACCACGTTGCTTCCTCGGGAGGTCTCAGTTTGGAAAAACAATGTCTCATTCTCTTGGCAATGGTTCGATGCCTTAAGAATGCCCTGGAATATTCCCTCAGTGATGCCTGTGCTGTGTCCAGATTTTGGGCAAGATTGACTTTGTGTTTGTTTTGAATTTATTCAGCTGTTCACAGCCTTTTGCCCCCAGGTTGAGGGACGAGGGAAGAGACGGCTCTCGGGGAGATAAAGGAGTCCTTGCGGCTTCCGGACCTTTGCGGCCGGGACGCTCCTTGCGCATTAAACAGTCTGCAGACATCTGGCCCCGACTGTTTTCGTCTCTGACTAAAGTCAGGATTAAACCTTGCCCCCACCTCTTTGTGCAGCCACTGGTGACTGACAGGCCACCCGGGACAATGGCACTGTCATCCCTCCTGAAAGCGCTGTTCTGGGCCAGACAATGCAGCGTCTGGCGGCCTCCGCGGCCCAGGCTGCGTGTCAGGGACCCCGCCAGGCTGCCCACTTCTACCTCGACACGTGTTTTGGGAGAGGCTGGGCCAGAGCCAGTGGCCGGCTCGGAGGCCAAAGGCACTAACCTGCGAGTGCGTTTGCTCTGCGGTGCACCGGGCAGCTCTGGGAGAGCCCGTGGACGCAGGGCGGCGGTGGCGGGAGAACAGCATGGTTGCCCTTGATCCAGGGACAGGTGGCTCTGCCTGCCTGCACGGGGACGGGCCCCCACCCCTCTCGGAGCTCTTGCACTGCTGCTGAGGGCCTCTGAGAAGTGCCAGGCCCTGCGGCTCTCAGGGAGACCCAGGCTGTCGCGACTGATGGCCTCTGGTCCTGGGACCGGGGTTTGTGGCTCCACCAGCTAGCAGATTATCTTGTCTGCCTCGGGAACAATGCACACAGAATGTGCTCATCACCAGGGAATAATCAAGGAATTAGGCTGTGTCACGGCAGCAGAGGGATGTTTCCCAGCCAGCTGTTTCTAATAACTTTCTTCTGATAACTTTCTCTAGGGACGCTGAGCCGTGTCCCCTGGGCCCAGCTCCCGCCCTGCACTGCGGTGGCCTCTTCTTGGCCCCGGCCGAGTCCTTTTACGCAGCACAAGGTGCATCTGGAGCTGGGCTGGGTGTGGCAGACGCCGCCTGGGAGTGTGGTGCAGGGCAGGTGATCGCACGCGCTCCCAGCTCAGCCGCGTGTGGGACGAGCTTCCTGCTGGGGCATCTCTGGCGGGAAGTAGAGCCTGACCCAGGATGGGGCCTGCCTCAGAGGGGCCATCCTCCAGCCCTGTACCTCGGGGGCTTCTTCCAAGTCCTGGGTGGGCCCCCGAGCCTGCATGTGCCCTGGGCCTGAGCAGGGCGCTCTAGAGCCCCGTGGGCCTTCCCTGGGGACCCAGCTGGATGGCAGGGCCCCAGCCCACGTCCCGTTCACACGGCGCTTCCTGAGTTTGCTGGGGCAGAGGAGGAAAGGAAACACGGAAATGCGTTCTGGTTTCTCTGCCTCTGAGGAGCAAAGGAGCCCTCTGGGTCTGGGGGAGGTGGTGGGGTGTACTTTGCGGAGGGTCCATGGGCTGCGCTGGGCCCACCCGGGTCTCGCCCCGTACCCTTGTCCTCCCTCCCAGCAGGCCCTGATCCAGAGCTTCCCTGAGCCCCGTCCCTCCCACTGCCGGCCCCTCTCCACTGCTCCTCCCTGTCCCACCCTGGGGCCCTCTTCTCTCCCAGGTGGCCTGCCCGTCCCACCCTGCCTGTGCCCAGCTGGGATCTCCGCCTGCAGCCTCCGCCTGCTCTACTCTGACCCTCCTTTCTCCAAGAAGCATCGTGGTTACCAGGCCAAGCGCCCTGTCACCTGCCAGGCTCGGGGATGTGTCCACCTGGCTCTCCACAAGACCTGCCCCGGAGCTTGGCATGGAGCGCACACGGCGATGGCTGGACCCTGAGCACAGCCACGTCCACACCGGCCCTGGCACGTGGTGACCGATAGCAAGACAGATGACTCGTCTCTCTTGACCTGGGTCCCTGTCCACCTGCCCCCGGGCCATGGAGGGGTCACCTGCCGACGGGTGACAGGTGCGGGGCTCGCTAGCTCCTCTCCCTGTGCGCCAAGCAGTGTGCGCAGAGGGAGCCCGTCCTGCAGGCAGAATCGCAGGCGCCGAGCTTTGCTGGCTGTGGGCAGGTGCAGGTTCAGACAGGTTTCCGGTGTCCACTACTCATCGAGGTGGCCACACGGGGCTCCGCAGCTTCACGTCATTGAGAGACTTAGCGGTGACAGTGCGAAATCGTGCGGTCTCTGCCTTCGCATTGAAAGCTGGATGGCCTGGTTTCCATCACTGAAAGGAATTTTAAAAATCCAATTTTATACACTTTGACTTGATGTGCCTCTTGCCACCATGGACAGACCAAAAGTTATCCCACGGAACTTGCAAACACGCTTCCTAAAGCAAGTGTCTCGTCCGCGGCTCTGAAACCTGTGCACACCCCACGTCAGACCCCGCTCAGCAAGGCCTGGGGCATGCAAATGCGGGTCCTGCCAGAGGGCTCCCGGCTGATGCCCGGCCTGCTCCCCTCCCTGGGAAGCCCTCGGTCCCTGGCACCCTGTCACGCAGGTGTGACAGCGGGGCTGTCCCAGAGGAGCCAGCGTGAGTCCGGGCTCTTGTCCTGAAGTTGGAGGCTGACTCTGGCCCCACTTGCTCTCATGGCCCCGTGCATCCCTGTGTCTCAGCGCGCGGGTGTTGGTACCGGCACAGAACAACTCCTGTTTTTCTAAGCTGGCTCTTTAAGATGCACGTAAAAGACGTGGCCTTTGAGGACTGAGAGGCTGCCTTTGCCTCAGTGGAGTTTTGAGCTTGGTGGCAGCGCCCGTGTGCCTGCGGCTGGTGGGGGGAGGGGCCCGGCAGCTGTGTGTGGCACGTCGGGGCTCTGAGCACCAAACCAGACGGGCTGTAAACACGGTGTGATTCCGTCACACAGAAAACAGCGTCCTCCCCGGCTGACCGTGCCCTGGGCCTGCGGCCGCCCTGTCCAGCCAGCGCGCCTCGGTGGTTACCCTAACAGGAAGAAACCCAGGGATTTCGCTCTCTGCATACAGACGGACTTCCTCAGCACACAAGTCCCCTAAACTGCCAGAGAAAACGCAGGAGGCGTTCCAAGTGCCCCGAGATTGTGTGCTGGGGCCACCCTCTCTAGCGTCCCTGCAGCTACTAATGATGAAACAAATCCTAGATGGCTTTTTAAAAATAGCATTTGGGGTATTTTTTTCTCCTTTCAAAAGAGAAAAATCCCTTCTGTAAGGAGGCAAGCCGGAAAAGCCCAGCCTGGCGCTTTCTGCATGAGTGGCCAGGACTTTGCGGGTTGAAAGGAGAGGGGACAGGCCAGCCCTGCGAAGCCTGGGAATGGGGATGTGGCCGCTCGGGGCAGGTGTCGGGGCCTCTTGGGCGGCCCCAGGGTCCATCGGTGTTTGTCCTTTGGGAGCTGCCTGAAGGGGTGAGATAAAGCAGTTCTTAAAAAGTCTCTAGCAGATGCCTTTGGGAGACAGAACCAGGAATTTCCTTCGTCCTGGGGTGGCTACAATGGCGCCTTCGGAAAGCTGCTTAAGCCACTTAAGCACATTAGCATGTGGATGGCCGGACTCCGGGCAGGGACGCCGCCCAGTTGTTTGGGTGCTTGTTCTAATCCTCAGGCTGCTTGAAGGCCCCAGACTGATTTGTGACACATGAGTCCAAAAGCCACTTTGGGGGGCTTGACCCAACCAGCGACCTGCGCTCTGAATGTCAATGACCTGCCCTGGAGTGTGCTTGGGGTGGTGGCAGCCACCCGGCCCCCCAGCCCTGCTCTGGGAAGCCGCTGGGGGCTCCTGGGACAGATGGAGAAAGTCGTCCTCCCCATCCCTGAGCACAGCCTCTGCCCCGCCGTGGGCTACGCTCCCTCCCCGCAGTGGCACTTGCGGTTCCGCTGGTGAACTCTCCCCGAGTTCCCACAGCTCATGCTGAGCTCACGGAGCATGGCCAGGCCCCCAGGCTCCTGCTGTCTGCCGGCGGCGAGGGGCCCTCAGCTCTGCCTGACCCCACTGCACTGAGGTTAAGACAAGGCCTTCTCTCTCCGCTGCCGTCCAGGCTGCTGCCCCTTCCCGCGCTGGCCAGCCCTGCCCCCGCTGCGTCCCCACCCCAGCTCCTCCCTCCTATGCTGTGACATCCTGGCCCTGCCAGCCTGAGCACCCGCAGGGACTGGTTGGGGGTTGCTGCTGGGAAGCAGGACTGTGTCCCCACCCAGCCCTCCTACCCCCCGCATAGCCAAGACGAGCCTGCCCAGCCCCCTCCTGAGGGAGCTGCTGCGACAGGGCCGGGCCCTGCTCAGCGCAGCTCTGGGGGTGCTGGTTGCATCCATGTGGAAGCAGGTTTGTGGTCCAGGAGCCTCTGCAGCCGCACGTAGTGAGCGGCGGGCCTGGCCTGGGGAGCAGGCGCAGGGCCGTGTGAGGATGCCGTGGGGGTGGCTCCTGGCCCAGGTGTGAAAACCTGGCTGTGAAGCAGCACCAGTGCCAGCCACTGCCTGGAAACGGGCGTCCCGCCAGTTGGAGGGGTTGGGAGACCACTGACGCCGCCCCGGCCAGGCAGAGCCTCCCGGGCCTGAGTCCCTCCGTGTTTCCCGCAGACACTCTGCACCAAGGCCACGATGCAGACCGTCCGGGCCGCGGACACCAACGAAGTCGTGAAGCTGATATTTCGCGAGTCGGACAACGACCGGAAGGTAAGTGGGGCCTGCACCTGCCTGTCGGCGACACGAGGCCACCGGCCGCGCCGATGGGGGCGCGGCCTCTGCAGACCCCCAGCTGCCCTGCCCTGCGGGTGGTGGGAGTGAGAGGGTGGGGGGTGCCCCCTGCCCGGCTCGGGCACTGACAACCCTGACTTGCAGGTCATGCTGCAGCTGGAGAAGAAGCTCTTCAGCTACTTCAACCAGGAGGTTTTCCGAGACAACAACGGCACCGCGGTGAGTTTGCCGTCGGCTGTGGCCTGTGGCTCCAGGACACCTTTCTGACGCAACCACCTCTCGGGGTCAGCTTTTGAGTCTGGGGGCCATGCTACCCTGCCGGGCACAGCTTGTGGGGTGCGTCCTGCCTCCGGGCTGGGTGGGGCTGTGGCTCCCGCGTCAGTGCCCCGTCCGTGGGTGGCGGGACCCTCAGCGGGCCCCTCGGCCCTTGAGACCCTTATGTGTCTAAGGGGGGACCCTGGGCGGTTTGGGGGGCTCCCTAGGTGCGGGGCTTCGCTCTGAATGGACGAAAGCCACGTGTGCGTTGACGAGAGGCGTGTGCAAGTGTCTCACGCCCATTGCTGGACTTGCTCTGTGTGCAGCACATGCGTACACTTGTGCACACGGATGCTTGTAAGCACATGTGCATGCGTGTACATGAGCGTGTATATGAGTGCACGTGTGTGTACACAGGTGGGTGTGGGTGCATGCGTGTAGTGAGTGCCTGTGGAAACTGAGGCGGGAACATGCAGCTCAGATCAGTCGAGAGCTGGCTCCCTGCCAGGGCAGCGCTGGCTGCAGGATCTGCCCTCTGCTTGGAGCTGCCGGTCCGCCCCCCGCAAGGGACCACATGTGGACAAGCAGGAACTGGGGGTGGCCAGGGCAGGGGCGCCGTGAGGGCCCCCTGCAGAGTTGGCCCCTCGGAGCCCAGGGCGTGGGGTCTCCCGGGACTATGCAGGGCGGGAAGACAGTGGGAGCCCTTGGAGGAGGACGCCAGGGTGTCCAAGGGGACAGTATGTTCCAGAAGGAGCAAGGAACGGGATGAGGAGGAGGCTGCAGTGGCCGAGGGAGAAGCACAGGGCTGAGCCAGGTGGTGCCATGGGACAGAGGTCGCGGCGCATTCCGAAGACATCCTGGGAGTGATCGTCTTCCGTGGGGTCCAAAGTCCTTGTTTCCGTCTCTCGGCGTTTACACGGAGACGCGCTGCTGCCTTTGGAAGTGATGCTGCCTGCGTTGCCTGCGAGGTCGTCTCGGGCCTGTTTAAGGCACAAGAAACTTAGCTTGAACATTCAGAGAACTTTTGGATTTGATTCTCTGGTAGGAAAACACAGCTGGGTCGAAGTGAAGAACAGACTCGCGTGCGGTGATGTGGGAGGAGCCCGCGCCCGTCAGTCGTGTCCTGTCAGGACTCCCGCGCCGGAAGGCAGAGGTTCGCCCGGGGGGCCTGGAGCCCCCCTGGGCTGCACGTGTGGTTTCTCCAAAGAGCCAAACAGCATCGCTGTCCTGCCCTCGGGTCCCTGAGACGATGGCGCCTCAGACGTGCTTGTGCCCACGCACCTGCCCCAGGTACACGCACGTGGAAGAGTCAACCGCCGGAAGAGTCAACCGCCGGGGCAGCCGTGCCCGGAGACCAGGGCGTCGTCCCCTTCACGGGAGGGACGATAGATGCGCCGTCGGCGACGGTCTCATCTTCTCGGTCTGGCTGAGCACGCAGCACCACGGCCATGAGAACCAAGCTCCCGTCCACAGGAGGGACGCGCCTGCACCGGACGCAGCCCCAAATCCATCGCATCTTTCATCAGCCGCCGGTCTTGTACCCGTCTGACAGGAATTTAATTCGAGCTGGCTCCTGAAAATAATTATTGTATTTTAAGAGCAGTAATCATTGGCCGAGACATGATTGAATGTGTCCATGCCTATTGACTTTTTCTATGATTTATAGCTTTGTTTAGTCGATATTCCCATCGAAATTGTATAATTAATTATAAGTGTGGCTGTCAGGGCCGCAGGATGGAGTGGCCTGGTGAGGTTTGGAGAGATTAAATTTCCCGTGGCTGTCCCAGGGCAGGGCTTGGGAATTTCCGCAGCGCCCAGCCGCGCGGAGAGAGATGTTTTCTGTGTGCTTAGCAGCCGCGCCGGCCCCGGCACATCGATTTTCTGGGCTCTTCCCTTTATCAGCGCGGTGTCGCCGCAGCACGGTGGACTCTGCCGCGGGGACAGCTCCTGACAGATGCGCACGACCGGCGCCCTTTGTCATCGTCCGCGCCCGGCCCTGCCTGTTTTCACTCTGTAATCAGAGGGAGCGTGCGAGATGCATGTGGAATCGGTCTTGTGTTTGCGAGAAGCTCAGAGAGACAAATGATCAATTCAGCGGAAATGCCGAGTAATTCCTGGTCAGAAACCTTCGCAGCAGTAGCGGTGACTTTAACCCACGTCATCCGTGTGGACGTGGCGGGTGGGCGGGAGCACGGGGCTGGGGAGCTGTGTCTCCATGGCTGCCACATGGGGTGAGGGTCCCACCGACCCGTCAGAGCCCGCATGGCCCCGTCACAGCTTCACGTCTGTCCCCACTAGGCCTGAAGGTTCTGGTTCTGTCCGTGGCCACAGCTGGAGCACAGCACGGCCCCAGCATGGCGAGACGCCTGACGAGCGTTGAGTGAGAGCGAGTTTACACGCCCAGTTCAGGACGTCTCTGTGCAAACACTGGCGAGCCAGTGAACAGCGGGGCAGTGAGGAGCAGTGCTGCCCGGAGGGTCTCTGGGGCAGGGGCTGGGGCTGAGCGCATGTGGGCCTGGGGGCGTCAGGAAGGACCGAGGGCGGGTCAGGGCCACCAGCCAGGGGATGGCTGACAGAGCGCAGTTGGTCATGATGGGAGGCGTGAGCCCACCGTGCCGAGCGCCTGGGGCGGCCTTGCCGGAGCACTGTGCTTGCTGTAGCGTGTGGGCGTGCACGCGTGTCCACAGTTACAGGCTCTGCTTTATAATCAGGACGTTCAGGCAGACTGTGGCCGCTCGGGGGCCTGGCAGGGCTGATTAAAACGGGGGAGTGGTCACTGGGTAACAGCGAAAGCCCCCACGCACCAGCCACGCACAGCACACGGGGCTCGACAACGACGGTAAACAGCAGCGTGACCGGTTTACATCTTTGCCAAACTGTACTTTTTATCGCTGGTCCGGAGTGTTCTCCCGAGTCAGCGGTATCGGCTTCAGTAGGTCCCTCGGGGCATCCAAAGGCGCCATCACCACGGGGCTGACAGTCCCGGGCGTGTTCCCGCCCCAGAGACCTGCCGTGGGCAGGACGTGGAGGGGAAGACAGTGACGCTGATGGCCCTGACCCTGTGCGAGGCCGATGTGCATGTTTGTGTCTTAGTTTTTAACAAAGAAGTTCTTAAAAAATAATAAATTCTAAAAATGGGAAAAGCTTTTAGAATAAGGATATACAGCTGTACAGTGTGTTTGTGTTTTAAACCGTCACCACTAAACAGTCCAAAAGTTAAAAATATTAAAGTTTATAAAGTAAAAAGTTACAGTAAGCTAAGGTCAGTTTGTTACTGGAAAAAGAAGAGGGAGCATAAATTCCGTGCGGCCCTCGGCGCGCAGCAGCGCCTGGGCCTCCGCGGCCCTCGCCACGCCCTCTCCCGGTCACCAGGGCAACCTCCCGTCCTGCAGGCTCCACTCCTGGCAAGTCCGTGCGCAGTGTGCGTTGTTTGTCGTGTATCACGTATAGTGTATGTTTACGTGCATGCTTGCCGCCGAGTTCCACCTGCCCGCGCACTCAGCACGGGCCTGCGCTGTGTAGGCTACAGCCCGGGAGCGGCGGCCGCACCTCACGGCCCAGGCGTGCGGCAGGCTATGCTATCCAGGTCTGTGCAACGCACCCGGTGGTGCTCGCACGATGCGAAACTGCCCAGTGATGCATTTCTCAGAACGCGTCCCTGTCATTGAGTGGCTCGTGGCGGTGTGCGTGTGCACACGTGTGTGCAGAACCCGCGCCACAGAGCCCGGGCAGAGGGCCCCGTGTGGCTGCTGGGAGCCAGGCCACGGCGGGGCAGAGGCTGGAAGGTCCGGCCCACACCAAGGTGTGGGTCCGTCCTCAGCAGACCCTGCTCCTCTGCCTCCCTCGTGTTCAGGGTGGCCCTGCCTGCTGGGCGGGATGTGGAGGGGAGGGCAGAGGCTGCGGGGCCAGGGCTGGAGGGGAGGGCAGAGGGGAAACCCGCTCTTTGTCTCCACTGGTATCTAAACGCCTGTGCTGGCTTCTCCCCAGGCTGAGAAGCTGCCTGCTGGGTGCTGCTGGAGCTGCGGGGCTTGCGCGATGCCACCTGGCCTGTCTCGGGCGGGTCGGGTTTCGACACGTGGAGTCAGATCACAGTGACTCCTTGAAAGATCAGAAGTGTAGGTTTTTAGCTTTCCCTCTCGATGCAAATCCTCTGTTCAGCCAGTAATGTTAAACTTCTGTCTGCATTCAGGGGAGATGTGTTTTGTTTTCTCCCTGGAGGAGAGTTCTAGTTTACAAAACATGATACAGAGTTTGCTCTGGCCGAGGTTCTGAGTGTGCAGACAGGTCGGCCGTGGCTCAGGCCTGCCGTGTAGACGTGCCAGCAGTGTGACCCAGGCCCCAGCAGGTTGAGCGGCTCCCTCTGAGCCACCAGGGACCAGCACCGTCCTCAGGCCTTGAGTGCAGGGCACAGGAAGCCCCCAGGCCCTTTGGGGCCAGCTCGAACACCCCACGGGAGACCCAGGAGGGAGTGAGAGACCCCGGCTCCTCAGAATCCCAGCAGCATGGGCGAGGGTCTCTCCACCAGGTCGGTGTGCAGAGAAGGGTTGGGGCCTCACCCCCTGAGGCGCTGAGCCTGCGGAGACTGCAAAGCTGCTTCTCGCCCTGCAGTTTGCACCAGGGAACTTCCTCAGGAGCACGTGGGCCTTGGATCTCGGGTTCTGGGAGCTCAGTCACAGGCCCTCTGCCCGCCCTGTGCTCCCGCAAGCCCGTGGGCCACAGACTTTCCACGGAGGTTCCTGGGGCCCGACTCGGGGTGCCCCTCGGCTGCCTGCGTTCCCGCCGATGTCGGCGCTGGTGACAGGGACCCATCAAGAGTGTTCCGTCCACGTGCACAGGCTCTGCCTCCTCCCCTGCGGGGGTCCTCGGAGTCAGTGTCCCCTCGGCCCTGCGCCCCACCCACGCCAGCTCATCACGGTGGCGGCTTCACTCAGCACCGCAGCCCTGCTCAGAGCCCTTCCTCACGTGCCCCTCGCCGTGCGGTCCTGCGTCCACTGCGCGCCCGTGTGCTCGCCCGGCCTGGCGCACTCACCTCTCAGCGGCAGCTTGGGGACAAGTGCTTCAGCTGCTCAGAGCTCACAGATCACCTTGGACCCAGTGGCCAAAGGCAGGACGTGCCCTGAGCAACAGCCACAGCTCGAGCAGAAAGCAGCACTTTGTCCCCAAAGCCGAATAAATCGCGTGTTGGCCGTGAGTTCGGCTCTGCACGTGCCCGTCTGTGACTCCCAGCCTCTGCTTCCAGAAGACCGCCCTGGGTGGAGGACGGTGGGAGGCGGGTGCCTCCTCTCCCTGGGCGGCCAGGCGGCATTTCAGGGTTCTGAACTTTCACTGGAGTTTTGTCGAGGCCGTAACTTGGTGTGAACAAGAAAGAAAGAGCCTGGATTCTCCGGAAGCCACGCGGCGGGACTCGTGGACACCACGCTGAACCGCTGAGTCACGCGTCTGCTTAGCAGCTACTCCCTGGCCGCGCTGCTCTGGGGGCCGGACGGACAGGCGCCCCACCACGGAGCCCCCGGGCTGTCAGGCGACGACCCGGTGGGTGAGCAGCAGGCGGGGCAGAGGAGAGACCCCTGGACAGTGTCCACGAGGAAGCTCTGAGCACGGCCGGGCGGATGAAGAGGCGGGGTGGACACAGCTGGAGAAGGGGCCGGTGAACTGGAGGACAGGCCGGAGGGGTGCCCGAGCGCAGCACACGCGTGTGCAGAACGTGAGCGGGAGGGTCCGCGACAGGGGGACCAGAGCTCAGCAACCAAGTAGGAGTTCCCAGGAGTCGTGTTTGGAGAGTTAATGACCGCGTGTTTCCCAGAACTGTCACAGAAATTCTCAGGAAACACAGGGAGTCCTGGGCGAGAGAAATGAAAATAAATTCACCACAGACACATCAGAGGGAGATGGCAGAGCCTCAGACGCAAAGAGACGTTTAAAAGCAGCACGAGAAAGATGTCGGGTTGCCTGACGAGCATGGCGCCGGCCGCAGGCTTCCAGAGCAGCCGCACAAGCCAGGAGGCGATGGAGCAACGCGATCAAAGAGCAGATGGAAAATGCGGCTAACTTGGAATTCTGCAGGCAGCCGGCTTGTCCTGGAGCACCAGCCGGAACATAAACGTCCACGCGGAGACAGAGGCAGAGTGGACACAGGGGTGTCCTCATGGACGGCAGGGGTGGCTGTGCTTCCGGAGCAGGGCGCCACGAAGGAGGAACAAGGACGTCACATCAGGTCTCAGCACGTGTCACGTGCGATGAGCTGGTTTTGTGGACTTCGTGGGTAGGTGCATGAGCGGCCGTGACAGAGGAACGTCCTCGGGGGTCTTTAGAAGCCTGTGTCAGATGTGGGGTTCGTGGAACGCCTGACAGCGCAGGGTGAGCCCCACACCCACCTGCCTGTGCGCCTGAGATCTGGAACCGCGTCCGCAAGATCCCAGGGAGTTGCCGTCAGCACTTTGGAAACACGCTGGTCGGCCATGGCTCCTTCCACTCTCGGCAGCTCCCGGTAGATCCTGGGCACAGGATGCCCGGAAGGGCCTGGCTTCCGATCTCGCGCAGCCAGCAGCCGCGGAGCCAAGCACCCCTTGCTGGTCGCGGTGGTCAGAGCCAGGTCAGCCCCGGACAAGCCACCTGCCTGGTGCACAGCCCCCACCTGTCGACACAGGGGCTTGGTGCTCCACACCGCCCTGCCGAGACATCCCAGTGCTTGAGAGGCCAGCAGGGCCCACACGGGGATTCACGGGACTATTTGTCTCTGACGTGGGGTGACCTACATGTGACACGTTTGTAGGCCTATGTGTGTAAATGCAAGTGCTCCTACAGGTACACGAACACACACACACACACGAGTGCAGGATGGGTCTGGAGCCCACGTACACGCTTTGCCCTTCAAGGCAGGACTTCCCTGTCCAGGGCGTCCACTGTGTCCCACCCGCTGGGGAGCTGCCCGAGGTCATTGCCGGAGCTCGTGGCCCTGGAGTGGGTCTCTCCATGGGGTGGTGCTGGAGCCTCCCCCGGTGCAGGGGCAGCAGGGCCACCCGGTGTCACGGAGAGCTGCCTGCGGGCCTGGGTGCTGGGGCTGCGCTGAGCCGGGTGAATTGCGCAGAGCCCTGGGCACTCCCACCCACAGGAGTGTGTCCCCACCCAGCACCCGTGGGGTCCCGGCTGTTTGTGACCCGGCCCGAATCTGGGCTCTGCGTCGTGCAGTGACACCAGGCAGCTGCGTCTGAAGTGCCCCGCCCCTCTCCTGCCAGCGCGTGGTCGCCGTGCCAGTGCTGTGAACGCGACACCTTCTGTCCAGATTCTGGCTGTTTTCCTGCAACCTGAGCCCTGACCCGGCCCCAGATCACAGGTGCCAGCCTGGGGGGGCTGGCGGGGGGCACGGTGCAGGTGGCTCGGGCAGCAGCCCGGCACGCGGTAATTACCGTGTACAGGAGCCTGCTAATTGCAGGTCTCAGCAATGATGGATGAGGAGGCAGGAACGCGCCAGGACACGGTGTAGTTTTCAGGCGGGCGGCGCTGCGCCCTGCACAGCTGTGGGTGGGACGTGACTGATGAGCGGCGTCGAGAGGGTGCCACGTGGCCTCTCACCGGTGGGGGCGACACCCTCGTCTCTGGGGAGTCCTGAGGGGGCCTCCTCCCCGCGTGGCAATGAGCATTTTGTGCCTGAACTGCAGCCGGAATCTCACCTGTGTGCAAAGGTGGGCAGTTTTTCTGACCTTCTGGCGCGAGGCTGACGCTCACGCTGCCAGTCGTGTCCCATCAAGCCCAGCTCCAGGGAGGAGCGGCCAAAGGTGCCACAGAGGGACAGCATCTGCCATCCGCCGTGCCTGCCTCGGCGCTGCCCGAGGCTGCGAGTGCTTCTCTGGGCGTCCGGCAGAGAGGCCACCGCGTGGGGAGGTCTCCGGGTGAGCGGAGCTGGTTGGTGACGGCAGTGCAGGTCCTGCCGCCACAGCAGGGGTGGTGGACACCAGCGTCCGGTGGCACCCACAGAGCTTGCTGGTGGCACATCGCAGCAGCTCTGGGTGGGCAGACGCCACTCCAAGCACCTGAGCCGTGCGTGTTTCCCCAAAGTCACAGGCATCCCGCTGCACACAGACCAGTGTGTCCCGATAAGGAAAAACAAAGTGACTTTATTTTCTTTTTCTCTTTTTTAGCTCTTGGAATTTGACAAAGAGTTGTCCGTCTTTAAGGACAGACTGTACGAACTGGACATCTCGTTCCCTCCCAGGTAAGGAACACTCTGCCTGCCGGACGGGCCAGGTAACGTCCCCCTCCTCCCTCTGGTGTGTCTGTGCCTCTGTGTGTGCGTGTGCATCATGCGTGTCTGTATGCATTGTGTCTGTGCACATGTGCATGTGTGTGCCTGCATGTGTGTGTGCAGGAGTGTGTGCATGTGTGCGTGACTGTGTTCATGGTGTATCTCTGCGTGTGTGTGCATCATGTGTATGCATTGTCTGTGCATGTGTACCGTGTGTGTGCATTGTCTGTGCATGTGTGCATGTGTGTGTGCGTGTGTGTGCATTGTGCACGTGTGGATGTGTGTGCCTGCGTGTGTGTGCATCGTGTGTACGCATTGTCCGTGCATGTGTACCGTGTGTGTGCATTGTATCTGTGCACATGTGCATGTGCCTGCCTGCGTCTGTGTGCATGTGTGTGCATTGTCTGTGCACGTGTGTGCATCGTGTGTATGCATTGTCTGTGCACATGTGTGTGCGTGTGTGTCTATGCACATGAGCATGTGTGTCTGTGCATATGTGTGTGTGCGTGCATCCCATGCTTGTGTGCAAACTGCACTTTCTTCTACCCTCTCCATGAGCTGAAGAAAGCAACCGCTGGGAGTAATAAGTAATTCTGTTACCTTCTTTTTTAAAAAAAAAGATTTTTTCCAATATGCAAAATAAGGCCATGTCAGATTTGCATGCTGGGGTCTGCAGGGGCGGCTCTGCCTTGGATCTTTCTGGGAATGCTGGGACCTGCCACAGGCCGTGTCTTGAGAGAGGGTTTTTGGTTCCGTTTTTCTTCCCCGGGCACGTCATCAGCTGTGTTCATGCCAGTGTTTGTGGGATCTCGAAACCTGCAACAATAACAGCGGGTTCCCTCCTCCCAGCCAGCGCAGGGCCTCAGAGGAGTGGCATGAAGAGAGAGAAATGATTTAACAGCGAGTGGCCCATGAAGGTGCCGCCAGGCCTGAGCCTACAGGACTCAGCCCTCGCCTGCCGCGCCTCTGCGACCTGCCGTCCGTCTGGAGGCAGCACGGGGCGCTGCTGCTCACCCGCTTGTTCTGCATTAAGCCCAGCAGTGACCATTCCACGGCCGTGGCTCAGAGTGGGTGGTTGAGCACGAGAACCAGACGGCCTCTCAGCTTTGCTGTGGGGTTCACTCGAGACGCCTGTACCACGCTCCCGTGGCCAGGTGTGTGCAGGCTGGGAGAGGCCCTTCTCTGGACATGGACTCTCTGCAGCTCGGTGGTGGGCCACAGGCCTGCACCTCTCTGACTTCAGGATGCGGGGCTCTGGCTGGGGGGTCCAGGTGCTCAGGGCACAGGTCAGAGCCCGGGCCAGTGGTGCCAATCTCAGGGCTCATGCAGCCCAGGAGGCGTCTGGTTAAGTGAGGTGATTAAGAACAGTGTACTTAAAAGGGTCAGTACCCTGCGCCACCTACGCGGGCCCAGTCGGACGGCTTTCCCTGCCGGGAAGCAGCGTTCGAAGCACTCACGCCAGGCCTCAGGCCAGGTCTGCCTCCCTCTAGGATTGGCCGGGGAGCAGCTCCCCAAGCCCCAGCAGGGCAGGGACGATGCCCTGATGTGAGACCCTGAGCCGAGAAGCCGGCCGCACCCGCCGTGTGGTTTAAGGAGTAAGGTCTGTGGTGCCACGTCAGGGCGGCAGTGGTCCTCCCACGCTCACACCCCAGCACTGCTGCTGCAAGGCGCAGAGCCCTGTCATCAAACCGTGGGGCTCCTGCCAGCAAGCTGTGCCAGCCGTCGTTGGCGTCACTGTCTTCTTGGCAGCACTGTGGCCTGCAGCCCCTCACTCCACCGGGCTGCGGAGTTTCCATCAGGCAGCACCGGCAGGTTCTGTGCACGGTGGCCGGGACCCCCGAGCCCCTGCTCAGAGCCAGCTCTAGAGCAGCCTCGCCCCTCCTGCGCTGGCCACGGCCTTCGCGATGAAGGACAGTCCAGCCTCCAGGGACCCAGAGATCCATGTGCCTGGGTAGCCCAGGGCATCACCGTGGGCGGCTCACGTCCTGCCCCAGCCGCTGGCTTCTCCGTCACGCTGCGCACACCAGCGCCCTCGCCCACCCAAGCCTGGCGGGTGTCGACACAAGACATGCGTTGCTGCTGAGCACACGGGAGGCTCTGGGCACTTCCTGTCCCGTCAGTTCAGTTACAGGCATTTTCCTGCAGTTTGGAAACAGCACTGGAGCTCTCCGAGGTAGAAATGTCCCAAACCAAAGAAGCACCGGCTGCCAAGTGTCGGAGTCCAGCTCACCGCAGAAACCATTGCATCTCCCAGCCCAGCACCAGGGGCTCCTGAGTCTGTGCCCTGCCCCCTCCTGGATGCACCGATGCCCCTCCTCCCTTTGGCTCTACCGTATTTTAAAACCACGTTCGTGACCAACAAATAGAGTTCCCAGCCCCCAATGGGCTGCCGTGCGGGTTTGGAGAACCGTTCCACAGAGTGGGAGTGGCGTGAACAGGAGTGTGACTGGGAAGGAGCAGGGTGGGGATCAGAGTGGTGGTTCTGTGGTACCTGCCCAGATGTGTTCTTTGCTGCTGTAAAGCAGGTGATCCCGCACACCCACAGGGGTGTGTGCATGCAGGTTGTATGTGCGCGTGGGCATGAGCCTGTGTGCATGGGTGTGCATGTGCATGGGTGTGTACATGGGTCTGGGTGTGTGTATAGAGGATCTATGCATAGGCACATTCACTCATGTGTGAGCATGTGTCAGTGTGTGCATGTGTGTGCAGAATGTAAGTGGGTTATGGACTACTGGTGCATGTGTGTGTGCAGTATATGGGTTTACATGTGTGTATGCGGTGTGTCCACACATCCATGAATGTAAGGCCATGTGCACGTGTGCACAGGAGTTTGAGTGTGCATGCATGCATGGTTGTGTTGCACAGTGCACACACATGCACATGCACTACTGCATGGGGTGTGTACTCACGGGACTGTGCGGGGGGGTGTGCACATGCACGAGGGTTTGCACTGTGTGTGAGCATTGCATGTGTCTGTGAGTATGCAGTGTGCACCACACAGGTGTGTGGATGCATGTGTGCATGGTCATGGGTGTGTGCACATGTGTTTCATGAGTGAGAGCATGTGTGAATCTTGCAGGGTTTGTGCATGTGAGGTGTGCGTTCTGTGAGTGTGCACACATATGAACAAGTGTGTGTGCACAGGCGTGCTTGTGAGCATGTGGGTGTGGGTGTCTGCGTGCACTCTTTGCACGGGGGCCGGCACAGAGCAGTCACTCGCTGTTGGAAGCAGCTGCAGACCCCGTTTGCCCTCCTTTGGCACAGGGGTGGGAGCCCAAGAGGACATTGCCGGGGGGAGCTTGGTGACACAGTCTTCCCTGCAGCCGGTGGTGGTGCCGTGGGCTGAGCCTTGAAATAAGAGTGCTTTGGTGTCCAGGGAAGGTTTTCAGATGAGTCCAGGGGGAGCCTTCCGGAAGGTGGTGGTAGCTGAGATGTCCTGCTCTGTGCTGCCGCTGGCGTCTCCGCGACAGGCATGCTGGTGTCATCCTGTGGGCAGGCAGGTGCCACCCCATCGCCACTTGGGCCTGAGGTTTGACTGCTGGACACGCAGGCCCCCAGAGGCGCCTGGTGACTTGTTGTCCCAGCGCCAAGACTCCCGGGGTGCTGTGAGTCTGCGGGGCGGGCTGGCCCCAGGACGCCCCCAGCTCCCCTTCCGAAGATGTGCGTCAGAGTGTGGCCCGAGAACTCTGGGTCCGCTTTGCTCGTTCCCGAGGTCACAGAGCCCCGGCTCGGTCCTGTTCCTGCAGGCGGTGCCCACGGGGCGTGCTTAGGGCCTCCTGGGAGTGGACGGTGCCGCCCAAGGCCGGGCCGATTCCTGGCACCTGTGCAGGCGAGTCAGCGCGAGACGCGGGCCGCCCCGAGTTGCCTCGTGGTCGCGGCCCTGCACGGGGCAGGGTGGGATGGCGCACACGGGCTGCTCTGTCAGAGCAGTCCCGCCCCAGGTGGCTCCTCAGTGCACGTGGAGGGCCCGTCACTGACCGGAGCGTCCCTGGCTGGTGCCCTCAGCCCCACTCTTGGGCTTTGTGTGATGACAGTGACTTGCGCCTGGAGGGGTCTGCAGCCTGGGCAGTGCTCCGTGCGTCAGAGGTTGCCCGCTTCCCACTTAAATTCTCATCATGCGATGTAGCTCCTGGTGTCTGTGCTCCCCACACTCTGGGCCCTCCTGGTACTTTCCAGAAGGCCGTGAGGACTCCAAGACTGTCGGAATGTCTCTGCCGCAGCCCGGGTGCTGAGGGCCTGCGTCTGTCTCGGCAGCAGTGTGCCGGGCAGGGCAGGGCTGAGCTGTCTTCTCTGGCTGCAGATCCTGGTTTTCAGAACTGTGCTTTCGCTCCGTCATTCATGAGATGAACACGCTGGCCAGTGGCTGGTGTGTCCTGTAGCTGCTGCCCAGCCCCTGCCCTGATGTCACGGCAGAGGGAGCTCAGACCTCAGAGTGGCTCCGGGCACCTTGGAGCAGCACTGGGCACTGCCATTAACTTTAAAATAAAGAGATGAGAGTATAAAGATGCGGTTGTACAGCTGCCTTTTCCACTAAAGTGACGGGGCAGCATCTTCCCAGGGCTTTCAGCATTCGCTAAGCCCTGCGCAGCCAAGGGTTACTGAGGGTGGTACCTCCTCTGGGCCTTCACGCCCAGCTGCTCTCCGGGACAGCCCCTCCGAAGCCAGAGGACTCCAGCAAGTCACCGGCAGCAGAGACCTGGACCTTCCCGCCCGCCACCACCACCGCCACCGGTGGCTTTTAGACCAGGGAGGAGTCTGCCAACGACCCGCTCTGTCTGTGTGAACTCGTCGTGTGTGAAAGGGGACAGCTGTCACGTGTCTCACTTAAATAACAGCAGAGTGTTTGTGCACATCCTCAGGTCAAGAAGTGACTGAACCGCTCTGTTAGGAGGAGAAGCCGTGTCCCCCATCAGGACGCTATCACTGTCGCTCTGGGGCGAGTCCTGGGGAGCCGCGGCACCCGCGGGCAGGACCGCTCTTCGCTCCTCACAGCTCGAGGACCCCAGGTCTGTCTGTCCTGTGGGTTGTATCTGTTGATAATTCCACAGATTTTAAAATGGTAGTTCATTTTAAAATAGCAATAACAAACCCACTATGTGTTAACATAAATAACATTTTTATGAAAAAGTAACCATTTTCCAAACAGAAAATAATCAGCGAGAGGAGTGGCATTGACTCCCACTCTTTATAATGGTGTTAGAGTCGGCTTGGCAGAGGACGGCGGGTGTGGGCAGCGGTGCCCGTGGGCATCGCGACTGCCTTCCGCGGTGCGGTGCGCCCGCTCGGTGCAACTTCCAGAAACGTGCTTCTCGGAGCTTATTTGCAGTGTGGAGTCTGCGACCCCGGCTGTCAGCCCTTTGCACGTGGGATGGATCTTTGGCCGCCATGCACGCCTTGGTGGCAGCATGCGTGGTCACGGGGTGTGGGGGTATCTGGGCGTCAGCACACCTCACTCTAGAGCCCACAGCGCCTGCGTCAACGCGTGGACATCAGCAGAGGAGCCTGCGGTCGGGCCCCGGCTGGCGGGATTTTTCTTGAAAGCTTAAATTCTGTCATCCACAACAAAGACTGCCAGCTGTTTCCCCGAAGAGGCAGCTCCTCTCACCCCTTCTTGGGAAAAGCCTGTTGGCTGTCCAAGTCTAAGTGACCGTGGTCTGTCTGTCGATCTTTCCGGCAAAAAACGCTGTCCTTGAAAACGAGCAGCCACTTGCGCCGGCGGCCTGCAGAAGCGCCTCGGTGTGGGCGAGAGTCCCGTCTCGTGCCCGGGGTCCCAGAGTCCCTTTTCCCAGGCTTGAGGCTCAGCGAATGGGGCCATCAAGCGCAGTCGTGGGTGGACTGGCCTGTCCACTGCCGAGCGTGCGACGCTGAGGAAGACCACGCTGACCGGCTGCTGCCTGCTCCCTGCTCAGGCGCCCTGGAAACAACAGTGACATCTTAGTGTGGCCAGGAATGATACAGCCCCGAGATGCTAGTAACTGGAGTGTCGCAGACGGTGGAGGGTGTCGTGCTGAGGTGAAGGCCACGCAGCGTGAGTCCACGAGCTGCGCCCGCTCTCTGATAAGTCCAGGGTCATGATGTGCTCAGCCCACGCCGGGCGCAAACGAGCGAGTGCCACATGGTTCCGCCTGTGCGCGGCTCACTGCGCCCAGACCCGCCGAGGTTCGGGATCCCTGCTCCCCCGGCCCAGCGGGCTCCGGGCAGGCCCAGCCGCCAGCACCGAGTCTCCTGCGTCCTGGGGTTTCGGTGCAGCCACAGTTCAACTGTTCAGCATTTTCACTGAGATCTTAGTGTTTCTGTCTTCTCCAGGCATTTCATTAGCAGCTGGTGGTTCTGAAACCAGGTACTGAGGCCACGGTTGTTTACTGTGACCTCCGGCCTCACTCGCATGCAGACATGCGCGTCAGTGATGCCATTACGGTGACGGACACCCGTCGAAGTCACTTTCCTCTGTAACGTCCTGAATCCTCCTTGGTGCCTGGTGCTACTGAAGTGGTTGTGTCACCGACACAACAGCAGCAGGTGTTTGGGGACAGTTACCGTCTTACGGGCGAGAAGCAGGAGGGGCTTCCTGCCCTGCCGCCCCCGGGAGAAGTGGACTGGGGGCTCCCCGACACCCTCCTGCCTCCTGCAGAGGACGGCGCTGGCCAGCCCGCGTGCGCAGGCCTCCTGCTTGTGGAATCTCAGCAGAGTTGGGCTCCAGCCCCGTTGCCTCTGGGCCTTCCCGAGCCTTGGTGCCCTGCGTCGGCCCCACCGGGCAGAGGCAGACGCGGCCCGGCCTTGCACTTCCTGCCCTGGTCAGCTTCGGGGCCGGGGCAGCGCTACCTGCGCAGCCCAGACCCCTCGGATCTCAGAGCCGAGCCCGTCAGCAGGGCGGGCGGCCTGGCCATGCAAGCAGTCAGCCACGCTGCCCACATCCTTCGAGGAAGGGACGCAGCGGCCACACAGGAGGGCGATTGTTCACGTTATCGCTACTGCCTTTAATTATGGTGACGGCGCCCAGGGCTGTTCGGGGCAGACATAGGGCCCCTTGTCCGAGTCCGCGCCCTGGTTTGCTTTCAGATAAGTCTGTGTGCGTGGCGCTCCCGAATGAATCACCCGCCAGGCCCTGCTGCCGGCAGCGCCGCACCTCACCTGCCCTCGCTCCGAGCCTCGTGCCTGCGGCGGGGGGAGCGGCCGTGGCTCCACACTGACCTCCCAGGCCTGGTTCTCTCGGGGTGTCGGGGCCTCGAGCTGGGGAGGCGGGGCCTGCCGTCCACCCTGGCCGGGACGCCCCTGGGGCCAGGTTTCTCCTGTGTCACCTGTGAACACTCCCCGGCCTCTCTCCTGGGTGCACGGGGGTTTGAGGAGGTCGCCGACCGGGCGTCCCCTTCTCTGCTGCTGCTCACTGGAGCCTGTCTGGCTGCCAGCCCCTGTCCCTGCGGACGGGGGCGCATCGCACCTCCTGCCGTGCTCCACCGAGAGTGGGGAGCAAGAACCTGTTTGTTCACAGACTTGCTCAGCTCGCCGTTGTGTGCTGTGCACACGCAGAGCTCAGCATTTGCTCTGACCTTTGGCCCCGGTGCATCATCGTAGGGACCCTGTAGGCATCATGGGGCAGCCTCAGGTGTGACCCGCAGGCCTGTGGTGGTCACAGCCACGTGGGGAAATTGGGCATGGAACGGCCGTTCCCAAAAGCAGGTGATTCAGTCCTGTGCTTCTCCGACTGCTGCTGCCGACGCCGCTGTCGTGCTGGGCAGCGTGTCTCGCCGGGCTGCGTGCCAGGCCCTCGAGGGAAGGCCGTGCAGGGCCGGGACTGTCTCTAAGTACTTCCTCTAAGTAGGAACTACGTGGATCTTGTTTGTAACCACATCCGAATCTTTAATCAAGTAAAGTGACATTTGAGGCCGGGGCCTGGGTTTCTGTGAAGGGTCAGCCCCTCTGGGGGCGGCACTGGGCAGAGAGCACCAGCCCCCATCCTGCCTAGCTGTCGAGGCGCAGGGACGAGGTGGGGCCCCGAGGCCTTCTGGGCAGGTCCAGGCCTGGGGAGCAGCCAGCTCCGCAGAGGACAGGGGGCCCAGGAGGCCCCCAAATCCGCGCCTGCTGGTACCGATGACAGGTTCTGCCTGAAAAATCAATAACACTCTTTTCCAGCTAAAACCAACAGGAAAATTTAACAGAGACTAAGATATCATTCACAACACATTCCACACGATACTTCAGAATCGATCTAAAGGTACACATTCGACTTTTACAAGGAAAGTCTTCAGACTCTGTTGAAAGCTGTAAGAGGCAGCGTGTCCAGTCTGGGCAACATCGCAAGACTTTGTCTACAAAAAAAAAAAAATCAGCCGGGCGTGGTGGCACCTGTAGTCCCAGCTACTGAGGAGCTGAGGCGGCAGGATCACTTGAGCCCAGGAGTTCGAGGCTGCAGTGAGCTGTGATTGCGCCAGTGCGCTCTTCCTGGGTGACAGAGCGAGATCCTATCTCTGTGAGTGAATGAATGAATGAACAAATGAATGGATAAGCAGATGCTCCCACTCAGGGCGCGAGGCTGGACGCAGCTAAGGGCTCTCGGTTAGTTTACGCCGAATTCATTTATCATCATTTCAGTTTAATCCCAAACGAAACGCCCCTTAGGGGTTGGGTCTGCAGCCTACACAGGACGCTGGGTGGCCGGGCCCTGGGAGCAGAGCCCAGCAGGCGGGACGGAGCCCGAGTGTCCAGGCAGAGCCGGGGGCTGTGGAGGCTGCAGCCCATCCCAGAGCCACAGAGGGGTGGGCGGGCCTGGGCGGAGAGTCCGGACGGTCAGCAGCAGACCTGGGGCTGCAGCCTGAGCCCCGGACGCCCTTCCTGAGATAGGAGCAAGGCGGGCGGGGCAGGTGGAGGTGGGGACCCGCGGGAGGCTGCCCAGGTGCCACCCGCGTGTAGAGGCACTTCCGGCGGGGGCGAGGCGGAGGGGACCGGCGTAGCTGGCGCATCCCTGGGCCGAGGCAGAGGACTTCTGAGGCGGCTTCTCTCCCGTGCGTGCGGGTTCTCATTGTACTTCAGACCACGTTCAAAAACAAAAGCTACAAGAAGCAAACAAACAAAGCTTAATAGACATTTCATTCAGTAAAGGAGTGGTTTGTTTGAAGATCCTGTGCTAGAAGTACAGTTCAGTTTCACATAAAAATAAGTCTGATGTAAAAGCTTAAATTGTGAGTGTGGCTTCGCGCTGTAGAAACGTGTGCATGAACATTCTTTCCCTGGGTAGCTCTGGCCATTCTGGGGCGCACTGGGGGGCCGTCCGCGGGACCCTCCCCGTGGAGCTCTCCCACAGCGGCAGCTGGGCCGGCTGACCCCTGCCCCTGTCTCCCCAGCTACCCGTACAGCGAGGACTCCAGCCGGGCCGCGCAGTACATGAACACCCGGTGCCCTGCCTGGTGCGACCGCGTCCTCATGTCCCCGTCTGCGAAGGAGCTGGTGCTGAGGGTGAGTGCGCGCCGCCCGGGGCCAGGCATGGGGAGGGACGCAGCGCAACAGGTCAGGCCGCCGCCCACCCAGGGCCCCCAGGTCCATCCCCGGCCTTGTCCTGGCTGAGCTGACCCAGGCGCCCATCCTCCTGGGGCTGCAGCCTGGATGGGCCCTCCCCCCGGGCGGCCCTGCGGGCAGCAAGCGCCAAGCCAAGCAGACGGGTGTCTCGTGCCTCCAGGGCCTCATCCATCATGCCACGCCCTGTCACCCCATCACCGGGCTCCGTTCTGCCTCCCCAGCTCCAGACGCCAAAGGTGGCTCCGGGTGCGGGCAGCTGGCTGCCTGGGCGCCTCGGTGACGAATGTTGAGCAAGGTGTGCCACGCGCTGCCTGTGCCCGCGGTAATTTGTTTATCTGTCCAAAGATTATGCAGTTGAAAATTCACGATTTTCTGCTGCCTTTGTAAATTACCACGCCGCGTTTGATGAATGTTTCCGCGGAGGCGGCGTCACGCTCCTGAGAGATTGGAAGGTGCTCGTGCGTACAGCGCGAAGGCTGCGTTTTATACTTTCTGGCAGGCAACCGTGCTGGAAAGTAAATCTGACCTTAAGCTTCCCACTGCATTAAAGATAATTCAGTTTTAACTTTATAGTCTCGGATGCTTCAGCTGTGATACAAAATCCCAGCCCCATCGGAACTGACTGATCACCGGGAGCAAACCCTGCGTCCTGCCCCTGTGAAGGCGGCTGCCGGCAGGGCCTGCGCACGCAGGGCTAATTAATATGCAAGGCTGCTTTGCGTGGCCGTGTGGAGCTCTGCGTCCTCTTCTGGACGGAGTTCTGGGCTGTCAGGACGCGTGTAAATAGGAAGGCGGGGAGCAGGTGAGCTCCTGGGTCAGGGCGTGCTGCAAAGGAAGGAAGTCGCCCGCTGCAGAGCACGGGTGGAGGCCGCAGCCTCCCCGGCGTCCGGGAGCGCCAGAGCCAGGGAGGGGAGAGCGTGCGAGCCGGGCCCCGCGCCTCCCACCCTGTCCTAGAAGAGGACCCATCTCGGCTGTAGCAGGGCCACCAGAACCTTCCATCCACAGGCTGGCCGCACTCTCAGGCCAGCAGAGCCCCGAGGGGCGGGGGCGGGGCAGGCCATGGGGTTCATGTGCAGGGACTGTCCCCACCTGCCTCTCTGCTCCCAGGAAGCCCCCAAGTTCCTGCTGCCACCTCCCGAACGGGACCCCGGGTGCCACCGGCCTCTCTCTCTTTCCTTTTCCCAGTCGGAGAGCGAGGAGAAGGTTGTCACCTACGACCACATCGGGCCCAACGTCTGCATGGGAGACCACAAGGTGACGTAAGCCACACTGCGGCCCAGGGCGCACCAGAGGGCCTCCGCGTCTGACCCTCTGCGGTGGGCCAAGTCGGTCTGTTTGTGTTTAACTTTAATAAAATGCCAAAGGACAGGTAGGTAGGTAGGTAGAAAAAAGGCAGAAAAGACTATTCACAATAGAACAAAACACACAATTATGCTATTTATAAAAAAAAAAATAGCAGTTCATCTGCAGCTGATGATTTCTGTAGACTGGTTTTCGAGGGTGCGTCTGGAGTGTTTTGGGCCCTCTCAGCCGAGCCGACTGTCCGCAGTGCGGGGGTGGATGCGAGTGTCACAGACGGGGGCTCTGCGGGAGGCGCTCATCACACAGATGGCGTTCACGGGCCTGTTCGGAAACAGAGCCCGGCGTCTCCCTGAAGGGCCATGCCAGGTGACAGGTCACGCCCCATTTTCAGCCAAAGTAAATGAATTCACTTCCTCCACCCTCGAGGCCTCCGAGCCGCGGCCCCGAGCACATTCCGAGGGGACGAGGCCCCCACCGCAGGGTGGTGGGAGGTTGCGGGCTCCTTCCTGCGTGCTGTGCCTGGGCTTCTTGAGCGGCCGTTCGGATCAGCTGCGCAGTGATGCCTGGAGACGGCGCGTCCCGACACACGCAAAGGGCTGTCCCCGGCTCGTCACACTGGCGGGTCCCGGGGTCCTGCTGCGTGCGCTGCGCGTGGGCCGCTCGTCCTCTGCCGCCCGTAGGCTCCTCTGACCGGTTCAGGCTGCCCTCATGAGACGCCGGTGCGGGGTGAGGCGGGGGGCGCGGCGCGCCGTGTCTGCGGTGCGGTGCTGACCTCTCCTCTCTCCCCCACGCAGCCCGTGTTCCTGGCCTTCCGCATCACGCCCGGGGCAGGTAAACCTCATGCACATGTGCGCAAGTGTTGTGTCGTGCAGTGACGTGGTAAATATGACTCCTTCCCTCCACTCCTCCTTTCTGCAGCTTTTCCTGGTGTTTTGTGCCTTTAACAAATGACCGATTTCGCGACAGGGAGGAGGTGCCAGCACCACGACAGGGTCCTCCGCGAGACCTCCCTGTAGCAGTGACCGCAACGCGTGCTCTCAACAGCTGCATCGAAACCGCCCGAGCGCCACCTGCTAGAAGGCCGGCCCCACACTTCGCTTCAGCCTCCGGACCATTCCGGAAAAGCCTCACATACCTCACTGTCTTGTCTGTTCATGTGACATAAGTAGAAATACTGGGTTTTTAAAATAAGTCACAGTCCTGTTGCCAAAACTCTAATAGACAGCAAGGAGAGTCTGTATCTTAGACTTCACAGTTTCAGCTTGTGTGATTGTCGGCGGAGGGGCTTCTCCCGCTGGGAGACCCCGCGAGGCCGGCGCCCCTGCCCGGCGCAGGTGTGCCCGGGGCTGGGGGGCGGGGACGGCGCCCTGGCCGACAGGCGGTGTGGCCGCCACGCAGAGTGGGCCGGGGCGCCCGTCCCCTCCGACGCCTCCCCGCGGTATTTTCTGTGCCACGTCACATGGTTTCTGAATCACACTGCAGCTGCTTTCCATTTTTATAAATATAAATATATATAAATATATACTTTTTAAAAATAATTTATAAATCTTACCAAAACTTATGCTAAATAGACTTTCCAGTATGAATGCACCAGAGTGTCGTAGCAGCAGGTAGAAGTGGCGTCCGGGAGTCCGGCTTGCGTCTGTCCACACAGACTGAGGACGCGGGTGTGCCTTGCAGCGCCACCCTGGGCAAAAGCCGACCCCACGGCACGCCTGTGCTAGCGGTTTGTTACTCCTATGCCTTTCTCTGTGTAATATCAAGAACTGAATGTGAAGTTTATAGCTAGCCTGGGTGTACCTTTTAAGAATTTTGTAAACTGTTTGTCTTTTGTTACCGTTTTATGGTGCCAAGTATTCTACATTTAAACAGTACTATCATGGGAGAAATAGAAATAGCCTAGTCTGCTTCCAGTACAAACTGCTTTTACCATGGGCTGTATATACAGATATTAAAGAGAAACAAAACTGTACATTTCCGTGGTTGCTCTGCTACAAACAACCTAAGTGATAACCTTGTTGCAAATATTTTTCTCCTAGCACTAAGTACAGCATTAAAAGGTGATTAGAGAGTCTGTTGAGAAACACAAATGTACGTTTATTGATTTTACTTTAGAACACTACAGAGTTCCTGGCCTGGGTGAAGGCGTTAGGTCGATGTTTGTTGTATAGAAATCACTACCACTGCAGGTGGTCTGGCGTCCGCTTGCGACTCCGTCCTGACGACGCAGTCGGTCTGTGTGGTGCCGCGGCCGGCAGGGCCTCTGTCCGGCGGGTGGGCGGGTGGCTGCTGGTCATTCTGTCATTCTGAGGGCCTTGGAAGCGACCACTCCGGTTCCTAAGCAATAAAACCGATCGTGGTGAAAACACGCTGCCTTCGCTCTCCTTCCTTTGCGTCCCCACCGCCTGTGAGATGCTGGGGCTCCGAGGGTCCTCCCCGACCTGCCCTTTGACCCACCTCAGCCTCCTGCAAGCCTGGAACGTCACTCCCGGGCACGGGCACAGAACACCGCGCCCTCAGTTGGGAGCAGAAAAGTAATGTTCTGGGCTTTTTGCAGCATGAGGGAGTCACCCCTCAGCATTTCTAAGTGGGAGTGTGCAAATGCTCTGCTTTCCTCACCACCGGAACTGGGCCCTCTCTGCTCCCACCTTGAAGCAGAGTAACTCACAGAAGTAACACTCCTCCCTTTTAAATGTTACTTCTTTTTAAAGAAAACTGGCCAGCAATTCAAGAGGTTTTCTTTTTAAATTAATGGTACAGCCCTGTGACCAAAAAAGCAAATAAACAAATTTAAGCCTTTTACATTTTCCTTTAACATTTTCAAAAGTGCTTTCCGAGAGAAATCTTAAAATTGCAGTATTCTAACTATCTGCACTTAATTTTGCAACTAAAATTCAACAGTTATGCCCATTAAGATGCAGCTACGGGGCTTCGCGTCTGCAGACAGTCGCGCTGGGAGCGGGGGTTCTCGGTGACCCCACTGCTCTTGGGCGCAGGGACTCACCCGGTGGGGCGGCCGCGGGGCTGCTCGGGACGCCGCGTCCTTGGGCCGGGGGAGCCGCAGGATTCCCGGCAGGGCCGGCGCTCGATCCCCGGTGACCGTAAGTGCGAGGACGGAGGTTCCTGCCCGGGCCTGGGCGCCCTCGGGAAGCCGCGCTGGACCCGGCGGCGAACGGCCAGGGCCCCGCGGAGACCTGTGCGCAGAGCCCGGCGGGCAGAACGGTTTTGGGTTTCTCCTCGCAGTCCCGGTTTGAGCGGAACAGTGCTTTCTGCCCGTGAAACATCCGTGGAAACGGTGGCTGGAGGCCCCGGGCAGAAGAGTTCAAACTTGGTTTCACCCGAAGTGGTTTACACCTACCTTGGAGTCGCCACCAAGGCACGACAGTCCCGGGAAGCGCCGGGCTCCGGCAGAGCGGGGAAAAGGGACGGTCCGCGGGGCGGGGGCGACACGCCCTTTACCGCCCTCCGGGAGCCCCGGTGCGTCTGAACCGTCACCGGCCCCCTGGCCCGCGGCTCCGCGCCCGCCGCGGCTCCTGCTGCCCCTGCGCGGCCTCCGCACCGGCGCGCGGGACGCGGGGCCCAGATGCCACCGCCGCCCGGCCCGACCTGCGCCAGACGCGGGCGCCCCTCGGCACAGACCGGACCGGGACCGGGCGGGGCCCCCTGCCGCCCTCTCGGGGGGCCGCGCCGCCGGGGGTGCCTCGCCGCGGCTCCGCACGGAAGAAACACGCGGGGCAGCCTCGGGAGCCACCGGTCCGACGGGGACGTGTTAAATAATTTATTGATGATACAAAGTGGTTCCGCCCGGGACGCGCGGCCGGAACCCCGCGCCCTGCGCCCCCCGAGGGACGCCGCGGGGTCCGTGCGCGCCGAGCCCGAGCCGGCCGCGTATAACTTATTCTGCAAAAATATATATGCGCCCCGCAGCCGCCTCGCCCCGCGCGCTCCGTCCCGCCGCGGCTCACAAGGCGTCCCCCGCGCCGCCGCCGCACGGGCTGACCAGCGCCAAGTTCGAGGGTTTGTGCTTCTTGAGCAGCCGCGTGATCTTCTCGTCGTCCGAGTTGGGGTCCAGGGGCCGGTTGTACTCGTCGTCGTCCTCCGCGTCCGAGCCGCCCACGTTCAGCTTCTCGGCGTCCGAGTCCTGCTTCTTCTTGGCCGACGCCATCTCCGCCGCGTGCCGCTTGCGCCACTTGGTCCGGCGGTTCTGGAACCACACCTGGGGGCGGAGGGGACTGTCAGGCGGCGCGCGGGCTCCACCCGCCGTCGCGCAAGCCGTTCGCAGGACGCGGGCGCGCGGGCTCTGCTTTGCCCGCGGACCCCGCGCCCGGCCGCGCTCACCTTGACCTGGCTCTCGGTCATGCCCAGCGAGTACGCGAGCCGCGCGCGCTCCGGGCCCGCCAGGTACTTGGTCTGCTCGAAAGTCTTCTCCAGCGCGAAGATCTGCTGGCCCGAGAAGGTCGGCCGCGAGTGCTTCTTCTTGCCGTCCTTGTCCAGCCCCGCGCCGGCTTGCGCTGCAAAGGAGGGCGGGTGAGTGCGGCCGCGACCCCGCGCCACCCCGCACCCGCGCGGGCCACTTACCCGGGCCGGCCAGGCGCGGGTCCCTCCAGGGCGCGCCCTGCACCACGCCGGGCCAGAAGATGGGCGCGCGCCCGGGCAGCTCGGCCAGCGGCTTGGGGTAGCCGCGCGCCACGGCGGCCGCGGGCCCGAAGTAGACGCCGGCGGACGAGGCGAGCCCGCCCAGGCGGGGCAGGCCGCCCAGGAGGCCGCCGCCCGCCGCGCCCACGGGCCGCCCCAGGATGTCGCTGATGCCGTGCGGGGTGCCGAGCGGCAGCTGCGCGCCCAGGCCGCCCAGCGCGGGCGCCTTGAAGCCGGCGGGGCCCTGCAGCGCGTAGGGGAACAGCGACGTCTTCATCTCGGCCATGTTGTGCAGCGCGGCCAGCGGCGCACTGCCCAGCACGAACGCGCCCGGGCGGTTAGCGTCCATGGGCGCCGCCGCCGCCGGCCCGGGCGCCCATCCGGGCCCCGCCGCCTGCGCCCGCCGGCGGGAAGTGCGCGCGCGGCCCGGGC